TCTGAATCAGCTTTTAATGTAATCGAAATTTGCGGGGGGGGGGGGGGAAGAGCTCAATATTTGTTTACTTTATTAAACATGTCTTTCAGTGTAAGTTGTTTCATCTTTTGTGCTAAATTTCTTGTTCATTACAAAGTTCAAGTTCTGTAGTTATCATGTCGAGAATTCCCACTAAATTGCCATATGATATTTTTTTGTTCTTAACCTCACTGTCATTTACTTCCAGTGGATTTTCTGGATTTAGGAACATACAAGATTTTGCTTTTGATAGCAGATTGATTACTGAGGCATTGTCATCATGATAGAATACCTCTGTTATATCAGCTTCATTTATTGCCATTTCTCCACATTTCTTCACAAATTCCATTAATTGGAAACTTTCATTTTATGTTTGCAATATCCAAAAACTTCAAATTTGTAGCTATCATTGTTAAGTTTAATGAACATCCACTACTGATGATGTATCATGAAATTAGCAACTAAAGGTATGTTGTTTAATTAAAATTTGTCTTCCTCCTAAAATGTTTGCTGAGTTTGTTATTTTTTATACTTTTATTTCCTACGTATGCTTAAAGTTTATATGAATCCTGGTAAAATTAATTCCCACACAATACTCAAGATGTTACTTTTCTATTATGCACCTACCATGCATTTTGGCAGGTTTTTTTTAATTGTTAACAATCTAGTTAGAAGAATAGTTTATAGATGGCAAGCACACACTATTATATGGCAGGTGATGGCCTAGATCATCACTTGACATGCACTAATGTAAAGGCATAGTAGGCACTACTGGAAAAATACCCTTGGGGGCCAATAAATTATTCTTAATTCAAACAGCACTAAACAGCCTATGATTAATATTTACAAAATCTATTTTTAGAAATTTCTGTTAAATTCCCTATTGTTAACCCTTTGATGCACACGACATGGAGGTAGGAAGTAAGATGGAGTCGCCCTAAACAAGTTTCTCCCGTACCCTGCTCTGAAGCACCGGCGATCCCTACGTGGTGACCTAAACATTGGGTCATTTACCATCGAGTTCAATGGGATTTGACGCGTTCAGATGTAAATATTTTGTAATTACGTCGTAAATATACATATAAATGTATATATTTTCTTTTTCTACAACACTTCAGAGTCCTAAGTATGTGAAAACAACACATTTTTAAACAACATTTCATTCTGAACGGAATTAAATGCTATACTTTTCACAGGACAGTTTTCTCAGAATGGTTTAATTTGAATGAAAACATTTTCACAAGTTTTCGTTAATTACATTAGAAAAAAAAATTAAGGTAATTCGATTTTATTCGGTTAAGGTACAAAAATTAAGATCAAAGTTTATTGTATTATTAATATTAAAATTATGCATTTTCTTTTCTATTTATAGAGCTTCTTCCTAAAATACTTTCTTAAATATGACATGATTTTTTGGCTTCTTTTAAAATCGAAAAATGTAAGTCAATTATAATTAATGCTCTATTCAGTTCATTTTAAATTAGAGAATTATTAGGAATTAGCGAAATACTTTAAATAAGTATTTCGCTAATTCCTAATAATTAAATAGGTATTTGACTTTCTCTGAACATTTCTGAAAGGGAATAAAATAAGTTGTTTTTTTTTTTTTTTTTTTTTTTTTAAATATTATTAAAACTTGTAACTGAGTTATTATAAAATGTAAAGGGAATAATTCTTTTAATTATACTTATCAGATTTTTTTTTTTTTTTTTTTTTTTTTTTTTTACCCTTCATTTCAACAATACATATTCCAAAACTCCTTATTACGTTCTTAAGTGCGCATCTCACAGCATTTGCTTTACAATACCTTTTAACAGATTGCCTTCCAATACGAACAATTCTTGCTTAAATAGTTTTATAACGTATTTGTCAACAGGATTTAAATTTATGTTTACAATTCAATATTAAGGTTATTATATATTTAGATAACATTTATAATTATTAAAAATTAGATACATTTAATAATTAGATTTTTTCACAGTACTTTCACAGTTGTTTATAAGTGAATAAATTCTTCATTTCAAATACATTTATAAATAATTTAATGAATATTTATGTATTTTGTCAAAGGCAGATACATGGTTTTTGCAATAATATGCAACAATAATATATGGATGTGAAAAAAAATTTGTTTTATTTAAAAAATTTTGGCGTTTGGAAAATAAAATAAAAGTAGTGAATACTCTATCAAGGGTATCGAAAGACGTATACAATTTTAAATGTACCGTAAGGTATTTTTCATTCTTTAAGCATAACATTTTTCTTAAAATCTATATTTTTGTAGTTCAACAGCTTAGAATTTTATAAAACAAATTCATAATCAAAATCACTGTTGTTAGTTATCGAAAAATAACCAATATGTGCTTTTTGCGTAAATGTCACTAAACTATACAAATTGCTATTATCCATCACACTATGAATGTTTCTTTCATGCGAAAGTGTCCCTTTTTCGATTTGTATGGAACTGTCGTGTGTCGAAATACTATCAGAATCCTGTCAAGCGAGTTTCTGAATGTAAACAAAGAACACTCCATCTGGTGACCCACGCTTCAGTGCTTCACTTCTAGTGTCGATTGGCCCCTCCTCCCTTTCCTACCTCCATGGCACACGATGTTATTTTTATAACATTTTAACTGAAAAATTCTAGAAATCAAATGTTATGATCCTAGAGACAAATAATATGTGAATTTAAAAAAAAAATCTACTCTCGCCCATTGATCTGTGGGTAGTGGTCTTGCTGCGAAACCAGCACACGTCTAGGACTTTGAAACTTACTGAGTTAGTAGGAAAAAACAACTTACCTTTTTCCGTGCGCATTTCCAATGAATGACGAAATTCGCAAATTAAAACAAATTGTATTTAAAAGTTGTATTATATGTAAAGTTTTTCCTTTATTTTACAAAGCAAATCTTCAGAAAAAATTAAAAATTAAACATTTATGTAATTTTTCTACAGCAGTGAAAACATAAGAACGTAAATGTCACTAAACTATACAAATTGCTATTATCCATCACACTATGAATGTTTCTTTCATGCGAAAGTGTCCCTTTTTCGATTTGTATGGAACTGTCGTGTGTCGAAGTACTATCAGAATCCTGTCAAGCGAGTTTCTGAATGTAAAGGAAGTTCAGATAAATAGATAAAAAAGACTCAGTAAAGTATTAAAAAGAAACCTCAGTGAACTTTTTTAAATGTCAAGGAACAAGGTTATATTTTGTGAAACTGTTCAAAGCATGTTTTGTCTTTTTAGTATGTGCATAAGCCAATATTTCACGCTTTGCACATATATCTTGTTCTGTGATATTTCTCCCTACAAAATGCACATCGCTAGGAATTGCATTTTACTGTCAAATGTTCTGTGTTAAATATTTTAAATTTGCATAATATGCATAAAATATTTTAAATTTAATTAAACTTTACGCGATTTCTATTTTTAATTATTGAAAAATATATTTGCATTTTATTTAAACCACATAAAATAATTTAGAAATTCATAGTACTAGCATAGGAAGTAAGTGTGTTGACATGTTGAGCTCACAGAAAAATCTTTGGAAATGAAAAACATTTTCTCTGGGAAAATGCATGTATTGCTTAATAATAAAATAGTGTAGTATCAAGGCCCCTTATCAATATCCGGGTAAAAATAAACATTTCTATTTGAAAGCAGAAAACACCATTCAGGGCACAACCACTGAGCTTCTACGGGCTTGTGAGTTGTAACACAATGCTCCAGTGGCTCAGAGGATGCGCTCTGAAACCATAAAGCAAATCCCGTAAATATGCACAGGTTGTTTATATATGCAGTTTAATTATTGCTTTATGATAGAAATAATGATGTGCGATTAATAACTTTTGAAATTTAAAGCTGTTTATATTAATAAAAGGAAGTTATTTTGTGTCATTGAAAATGAATTTTAAAAGGCATCCGATTTAAAGTATTAAGACCTAAAACATATTTGGTTTTGCAGTCACTTTGTGTTATTTAGAGGTAAAAGATATGTAATCAATCAGTTTTCACTCAAAAGGTTCAGAAAGAGCGATAAAAAATTCGAAAATTGTTGGTTTCAAGGTGCGACCACCGCGCATCAAACACACTTAACACTTTGTAACCCAGTTGGTTGAAGTCTGTAATCATGGCCAAGTGTAACAACCGCATAAAAGGTTATCATGCTGTTTGATATTCAAGTACAGATATTTTAAACAAAAATTGCATTCGACATTGCTGCATGAGTCATTTTTCAGGCTGCAGTGAACTGAAAGTCATGTGGTGATGAAAGCAAAATATAATTTAAAAAAAAATATGCCAGGTTAGTGCAAGGGTTATATCATATTCAGAAGCATAAAATAAGTGATAAACTTTTATTGAATGTTTTGGTTTGATATGTGTGCCATTAATAAGATGGCTATGGGGACAAATTATTAATCATAAAAATTTATGGTATTAAATAATTACGTTTGTTCAACATGGAGGTATTTTATTTACTGAAGAAAGTAAAATTAAGAATTAAGACTCCCTGCATGCTTTATTACAAAATAATAATAATAATAATAAATAAAGCATCTACTGCACATGTGTGAAGCATTCAACATATGCACCTCTTGCAATCTAATTCTTTCTCCCTTTTTGCAAAAAAAAAAAAAAAAAAAAAAAAAGGTTATGGTCAGGAGATTTATATATTTGACATCCAGATTTCAGAATTTGTAATATAGTATGTTAATTTATTATACACTAAAAAGGGGAAAATCATTTACAGATATGAATACAAATGCTATCAATTTGCATAAATAATAAAAGTCAAAATTACACATATTAAAAACTGATTATGATAAAAAATATATTTCAAAAAGTACATACAGGAAGTTTACAATATTATACAGATCTTCATTATTATCTAGTATTTCAAAATAGCATCAGTACATGTATTCACTATTTTTCAATTTCAGTTATTTTTTATTTTGTGTGAAGCTTATCATACACCTACCATTTCAACACGTTTTTCCCAGTCATTACTTGGATCACCTAAGATATCTTTGATTTTTGTGAGTTCAGTCTCAAGCTCCTTGGCTGAATAGAGCTATAAATGCAAATATGGTATAGTTATTTTATTAAATGCAAGAGATAGAAAGATTATAACTTAACAAATTTCACATTGAGAAATTTTAAATAATATGTTACAAAAATTTATGTTAATTAAATAATGGTATGTGATGAACCTTTAAACAGAGTTTAAATTTCAAAATCAGACACAAATTACAATAGCTTAATAGCAAATCAAATAGATAAACATACAGTGGCATTGCTACAAAAAAACAAAGATATCAACAAAGCTATATGAATGAAAAAAATACTTTTTTGTAAGTATTTGAAAAAATTTAGTTCTGAATAAATTAGCACTAAAATTTCTGGAAGAAATACTGCAGTGTTTAAAACAAACTTCCAACAGTGTTCCTAATGATGTTGCGCTTATGTGCACTTAAGAAAAATATTCTGAAAGATGCCACTGTAAATAGTTTTGATTGTCGTGATGTCCCCCCCCCACAGAAGACCATCCAGTTGCTTTCTGTAAACTTTATTGTGCATGTCCCTTGAATGGACCTATGTTCCTGATTCCCCCTACACAAGGATCTCAGAACAATCACATTTTTCCCTTGTACAAATCAGCATCTCCATCTAGGACCTATTATCTCCCTCACGGCCAGATTAAGAACTTCAGAAACCTTAAGAACTTGAAAGATTTTAGTACTGCCACCTACATCTATGGCAGTTTTTTTTTTTCCCTTCCTCCTCTCTGTCAGTTTTGGTTTACTTGCACCATACATTCCATGGTAAAACAGGCAATGGAAAATCTTTTGGTGCCTCTTTTCCTGAATATCTGAGGACAAGAAGTACCCCCTTGCCTTGATGCCCAAGCACATGCTTGTATTGTTAACCACTTGCGCTATGACTGAACTTCACAGTTGCGGTGCCATGCCCTACAATGTAACAAGTGGTAAAGTGTCTCATTTACACCGCTCCGTGTCTGCGAGTGCAATTCAGAGCTGTAACTCGAGAAATAAATAATCTCGTCGTTAGGTGACGTGTACACCACATTATTTTAATTTTTTCGACGTGGTGTTCATGTCGCTCGCGGTTTGAGACAAAAGCATCTCGATGTGCGAGGCACATCTTTTTAGCGCAAGTGGTTAATCCAGCCCTGACCTCCTCTCCCCTCCGCTTTTCATTTTAAATCTACTGTGGTTTTCTCCAAACATGGATACAATACTACCTGTATTGCTATAATCAGCTCCAATGTATTTCTTCTTTCTCTCCCTTCAGCATGAATTGATTCTTCTTGGCATTCTGCCAATGACAGATCCATCCATCAACTTCTGTATAAGATTTTTTTTTTTAAAGCAGAAATTTTTTTTTTAAATGCCACCTAAATGACATAAAAGCTATACTGCTAGTTTAAAGCTTAGTGCAATTTCCCATGCCCCCCCAAAAAAAAAAAAAAAAAAACAGAAAATAGATCAGCAGCTTGAGAATTTGTAGTGAACAAGCATTGCATTTGATGCTGGTGAACTGAAAAAGGAGAACTTGAAAATATGACACAACAAAGACGAGCCAAAAGAAGTGCAGTATAAGAAGACAAGATCTAAAGGATGATCTTGCAAAGTAGATAAAGGAGCAATGAGGAAAGAGAATGGCAATTTTGAGTGTAGAAATAGTTTTACAAGCAAAATTTATGGTACAACAAATAAACAAAAATAACCTTAAAGGAGGGCCTAATAAGGTTATGAAGACAGAAACATTTAACTTAACCAAGCTTACGATGGGGCATGAAAGAACTTCATTTACATGTTTGTTAGCTTGTGCCACAAACAAAGACAACCTAAAGCGATGATCATTTTCATAAAGAAAACTTTTCCAAATGGAGATTTTCTTAAGGACATAATTATTTGTGCAAATGGAAATGGATGGATGTGTGAAACAATAATGCAAGTGTAGCTATAACCTGTTTGGAAGTGTTATAAGGGACCAACCGAAAAAAATCATTAATAATGAATTCTATGCGTTCTCATTTACTTGATTCAGTGTAAACCAGATAATAACTTCTATGACCTTAGAAATAATTCCTAGTGGCTTGACAAAAATTTTATAACCATTAGATTTGTCAGTTAATAAATCCTTCAAAGATGAAGTTCAAGCTATGAGATGTTGGATAGGAAATGCATAGAAATCAGTGAAAATATCATTAGTATCTTTCTAAAATCATCAGAATTGTTATATGAAATATAAATGTAAAATTATAAATATAAAATGCTTTTGTGAAAATGCATTGCATTTGTATAAATTGACTGTACACTATACCGTCAATCTTGGAACATCTTCAAATGACTTGATAAACATTTCTTCATCTGCTCCTCCAGCACCGCCACCTAGAAAAATAAAAAAATTCATCAGTTTATGGAAATAAAACTACCTTCTAAGCAGCTCAACCAATAAATGCCAGAAATTTATATTTTAATATTATCAAAAAAGTTAATAATTTAATACACTTGCTTACAATGCACATAAATTTTAAAGACTACATACTCTTGATTATTTACTTATGTGTACTTTTGATACATCTGGCTACCCTGAATGGAATGAATTGCATCTAAAAGACCATTTCAAATAAAAGTATTTTCTCTTGGGCTGCATGATATGGCAAAATATCTATCTGATACATACTGGCACATCTACTGCATCTTCCTCCTCTGGAAAATAACCAATGGTTTTCTTTTGCTACTTGGCACACTGCACTTGCAGTGTCAAAGTGCAATAATATTAAATATAAGAATTATGAATTAGATGTCTAAATTAAGCCTTTGCACTCCCAAAGACTTCTGTTCCAAGTTGGTACTAATGTAAAATATATTCTTTTATTAACATCCTCATTTTTTAGTATATTGCACCATTCATCATCAGGAAGGGCCAGTGGTCATGGGGTTAAAACACTAGACACTTAATTATTCTTCTCTGATTAGGTTCTAGTGATGGATTAAATAGGTTTCTTACCTTACATGGCAGATAACTAATATGTGAAAACTGCTATTAAACATTGAAGTAAAATAAGGTAGCACAAATATACAACAGATCAAGACTTATAAAGTCTTCTTTAGGAGTATTTGAAAAACTGACTTGATCACTGTATGATTTTAAATTTATAGTTAAAATAAGATATTAGACACTAGATATACATTGTTTACATATTCATATAAATAGAACAGATATTCTAAAATTGCTTTACCATAACAGCTGCATGAATTTAAAATGTTTCGTTTCAAATTTTACAATGTCAGTACATCTAAAAGAAAAAATTCTAAAATCTAAAAGAAAAGAAAAAATTTGCAATGGTATTATAGGTAAACAACAGCTGGATATTAATAGTAACCAAAGCAGCTACCCCAACATTAAGGTATATCTTGCCCAAAGCCTTTTCAACTTCGAATACTACTATTACAAAAGAAGTTGTTGAAATAAAAGAATGATATGCAGAAATTAGCGAATTTTGATCTCAGGAAATATTTTTTTAAAGGAAAAATTTTAATTACTGCATATTCTAGTGCAAAAAATGCACCCATAATTTCAAAATTCACAAGTAATAAGGGAAACAATATGTGTGTGTGGGGAATGCTTGAGGAAATAAATAATTCTGCAAAAAAAGATGGATTATATTCAATGCAGGTGTGCACAAAAATGGTTTTGAAAAAAGGGGTCATAATTTGGGGTAAGAATGCACTTCCGACCTGAATGATTTTACAGAATAAGAAGCCAGATGTTTTATGTTTCTGTAGACATTTGCAGTCATGATTTTGACATGAAAATCGAAGGCTTTAGCAAATCACTCTGTTTTAGCTCAAATATAGTTGATCTAGTTTCTTTTTAGTAGTAAATATGGCTCCTGCTGCACAAAATAAATGCAGTGCTGGTTTCAAATGCAAAGTCATTCAGTTCACAAAAAAAAAAAAAAAAAAAAAAAAAAAAAAGGAAATTGTGCTGCAGCAATGACATTTGGTGTTGGTAAAAGCTCCATGGAAAGAAATATAAGAAAAATGAAATCACAGTTATTAACGTGCCAAAGAATAAGTGTGCCTTGTGCAAAATAGTAGCACAATAGCCTATCTTAGACGAAAGTGTTATAAACTGGGTGTTAGAAAATTACCAGAATGGATTACTTAAACAAGAAAAAGAAAATGTTTATTTGCCTTAAAGTGAAAAAAAAAAAAAAAAAAAAAAAAAACTTAAAAGCATTCTGAGTTGGTATAGCTGATTTACGGCATGGAATAGTTATACAAGGGAAAAAAAGTTTCGCAAATGCTTCCGAAAGATATGGACAACATACTGATAAGTTACCAGAATTATGTTACTGACCTACGAAAGTAAATAAGTTAATTACTGATACATACTGGCAATATGGATAAAACTCCAGTAATGTTTGATAAGATAGGAAATAAAACTGACATGAAAGGAGCAAAAATGTATGACATAAAATAAAAGGCCACGAAAAATCTCACCTCACCATTCTGCTTTCCTGCTTAGCAGATGGTACAAAATTAAAACCCATGGTTATTTTTAAAAGAAAAATGATGCCAAAATGTAATTTCCCAAATATTGTTTTCAGTCATGTTCACAAGAAAGAATGGATGGATGAAAATGGTGTGAAATTGCGAATAAGAAAAATGTTTGGCAAAAGTTTACAGCTGCCTAACAAACAAATTGTTAAAAGAATGTAATACACACATGGCAGATATTCCATGCAGATTAACATCATTAGTTCATGCTTTAGATGTGTGTATCAAACCATTTAAAGAAAATTTAAAACTATAGTGGAATAAGTGGAATCTTAGAAGGTGAAACAACATTTACAAAGAATGCCACATGTGCACGCTAGTCTAGAAATAATAGTGTGTAAGTGGATAATGAAAGGATTGAATGACATTAAACCTGGTATAATTCAAATATCATTTGAAAATTTAGTGTACCTAACAATCTAGATGAAATGGAAGATGATTATTTATTTATGGATCAAAGTAGCAATAATGGTGAAGATGAAAGAGAATTTGATGATGTACCTGAAGATATAATGGAAGGTGAATGTGATGAACTTTTCAAGTTACCCAAAAATGACAGTTTTACGTTTATAAGGTATGCAACATTCATGTATCATTTCTTTTAAATAAACAGAAGCAAAACCTAAATAAGAGCAAAGTGCCAATGATTTGGGAAAAAATTTAAATAGTTTTAAAAAACTACTTCAAAAATTAAGTATAAACCTCATGCTCAAAAGTAGTTTAAATGTGTCATGAAAATATGAACAGCATATTACTTAAGAACTTAGTTATTTATCAATTTCATATGTATACAGTACACCTGAATAAGCTAAATGTAATCAATTTTTATAAAAATAAGTGGAATAAGAAAGAGATATTTTGAAGCAATTTTCTTAAATGACTTATTATTCATCTCAGGGATTTAAAATTTTAGTTTATTCCTATTAAAACTCAAAAGAGGATGAAAATCAGGATTTATTTTAATTAATACTTTCCCAGCTTATTCAAATAAACGGTATTTATTTAGTTTTAATTTTTTCTCCCAGTTACTTGATTTGCATCCTTTCTCATTAAACCTCTATCATCAATCAGTGTTTTAAAAAAAAACATTAAAAACCTTACAGAATACACATAAAACAACTACAGTCAAAAGTCGTTAATTCGGACACCCATAATTCGGAATGATCTATAATCCGGACCTCAAAACTAAAATCTTTCTGCGCATGCGCCGCGTTGACACATGCGCATAGGCGTTTACGCGTGCGCGTAAGACCTTTTACTACTGCGCATATGAGTGTGCGCAAGTGCAGAATATGTTTTCGCGTGCACGTTTTATGTATAATGGACGTATAAGCTAAAATTATCTAATTATTTCAGTTAATGTTGATGATTGCGTTGTTCCTTAATTTTCGGATTGGATCCGGCTTATTATTTTTTGTAGACTGTAAGAGCAATTTTATAAAAGTAAGCTTAAACTTTCGATTATATCAAATAGAATTTCCGATATATATTTGTTAATATGTAAAGGATCTAAAGCGAAAGTATGTTTTGAAATCCGAAATCTGTTTATCAATTTCACACTGCTCGGCGGGGGGAACACGGCAGCGGGCGCGTAATGAATTGGAAGTTGATCTGTCAGCACTATCCTTATCTTCAGCGCAGATATTTTTATTTTATTTGGCTTATAATTGAAGATCAGATGTTTTTATTTTATTTGGCTTATAATTCCTTACCAAATGTAGTATTTCATCTCGATATGCTCCGTCTTTGATATGATTTAAAACAAGTTCCTCGTCATTATAATTCTCTTCGGACAGGGAAGAAAAGTGACAGAGGTTATTGAAAACGAAAAAATTTTGGTTGACAAATTAGTCGGTGTTCTTGACACAGCAATTATAGGACTTGAACAGCGGAACTTTGTAACTGAACAAGAAATTATGTCTGTTTAATAGAATTAAAGAGAAAGTATTATCACATGAAACGAAGCAAAACTTAAACAACTTACATTGAAAGAAATGTTTATTTAAGTAAACAAATAAATATTAAGCATTTTCTTTTTGCACATTTAATACCCTTTAGATTATAATTGTTCTTTATTTCATAAATTACGGATTCATATTTTTAATTTTAGAATTTCTGCATGCCATCTTACGAGATTTAAACTGATGATCTATAATCCGGAAAAATCGCTAATCCGGAATCGCCGAAGTCCCGACGAGTCCGGATTAACGACTTTTGACTGTAATATATTTTTTTAATATTTTCGTCAAACTTCCAGAGATAATTTTTTTTAAACTGTCTGTGAAAGAAATTTAAATATCACTCATTCTGTTTATTAAATCTGCATATTTTTTTGGTCATAGCTACCACAAAATGTGGGAAATAAAAGTTGGTTCTAATTTGCATGAGAAATTTATCATCACAAAGGACTGAAATTCAATCACGACTCAACCAAATTCTTAAATACTTCTTTCTTTTTACCACATTATTACTACCAGAATAATATATTACTTTAAAATTCTAAGTAATATATGCAAGTTCTGCAGCTGAATATATATTATTTGCTGATACAAATCTGAAAATAAAAATAACTTCAGTGTCAAACAAATTTAACTGTTGTAAATAAATAAAAAACACAAGATTACATATAACAGTACATTTAGCCCAGCAAAACTACAAAATATAACAACATAAAATAAATTAAAAAAGGAGACATGAAAACTAAATTTAAAAAAAAAAAAAAAAATTTGAGACACTCCATAACACATTGTGACCACACCACAACACAATGACCAATCAGAATAGAAATAATAAAAGCTGAACAGCCGTTTTCCTTAACATGCAAATAAGAAATTTCCCCAAAAGATAACTGAAACAGAGTTTGCAGATATTGCTTTACGTGAATGGTGCTTTGAATGCATATAGAGTGCAAAGCAAGCAAGCAAACAGAAGTAATATGATGACAGAAAGCTCAACAATGGCTACCTGAAGACATAGGTTTTGTTGCACTCTTCAAACTTGGCTTCCTTTTGGGGGCTTTAGAAAGGGGGAAAAACAGGATTTAACAGGCTAAAGCATAATATGAACTACAGAATATATTAGTTATAAGTAAGCATAAACATAGAAAGCATGAGTATCTAAGATTTATAATTATTTCAGAATTACTATGTTATTCTGTTATTTAAAAACATACCAAATTAAGATGTTATTCCAGTTAAAATATAAACAATAACACTCTATATTTAGAAAAAAAAAAAAAAAAAAATCAGTTTATATCAGATTGAACTGTCATCCCTCATAGAGATTACAATTTAATTTAAAAAAAATATTCATTTTATAAGATATTTTCTCCCTCCTTACAGCATGCCTTCATGGTCTATGGTGCGCATTCAAGAGGTCCAGGTTCGAGTCATGGTGAAGGCACTGCACATTTTTCACATCTGCTTCCAAAAAAATCTTAATGACTCTACAGTGGCACCCGAACTAAGAAAGGGTGCTGGATAATAATTCGTCACCAGTAGGATTTGGCGATTGGGTCCTCTAATCCCCAGTTGTCTTTTACACAGGGTAGTATATAAGTTATTTTCCCCCTCCTTTCCAGTATTTCTTCATGGTGTAACATTAGCACACTCAGTGCTTATTCGAGAGGTCCAGGTTCAAGTCCAGGTGAGGGCATTGCACATTTTTCACATCTCCCGCTTCCAAAAAAATCCTAATGACTCTACAATTTATTTATTATATTTCATTCATTTTTTTTTATTTTACTTATCATTTTTATCCCTTTTCCCCCAAAAAAACTGAGAACAAAATATTATAACTTTCAAGTTCATACTATAATATGAAGTATACTTTCAAATACACAAACTTATAATTCTGATCTCAAATTTCTTCCAAAATTATCAGATATATCTTTTAATGATATATCAAAGATTTCCTTGAAGGTATCCAAATATCAATATCAATATCAATATGAAGGTAATATCTTAATCAATATGAGCAATTTGTCCAGAAGGATTATTAATTTTGTTTTGGCATTTTTCGTCAATTCACGATAAGCGTTGTTTCACATTTCAAATTGTTGCCACCAAATATTATCGCCTTGCATTATATTTAAAGAAATTAAATAATGAAGAATTGCATTAATGTATGTATGTTTCTCACATTATGATAAAACAACGGTACCTAGAGCCATTAAAATTTGAATAATGTAATCTTCCATAAAATATGGGCATGTGGAAGTCTTAATTTGAATTTGAAATTTGTTTTATTATCGATTTCAAATTTTGTAACACTTCAACAAATTTTTGATTAACAAATTAAACAATTTCAAAGTGAGCATTGGCAACACTGTACCGGGGGGGGGCATTTTTATCTCCAGCGCGCAAGACTCCAGAAATTCTAAAGATATGCTCATTTTAAAATTATTTTGCGATATTGTTGTTGAACCAAATTTTATGGTTTAAGTGTGAAGAACACGTTATAATATTTTAATAATGACACAAAATGTTAAAAAACGCCCCTTTAAACGTAATTTAAAATCTGAAACCTTTCAGATTTTTTAATTAATTACATGATTTTTTTTTTAGCAAAACAGTTTTCGTTTCCTTTTGGACAGTGTTTGTTTACCCATTCTTCTATATCTTCCCCTCTTTTGATAATTTCAATGTAGTACATACACACTTAGCATTTTACGTTTATTTACTAATAAAAAGTCATTTATTTTCTCAAAATATATTCAAAATACCATCAATTAATATAGCAATTAACATATTTTCTATTCAATCTACTTGTAGGTATTCAAAAATATCTTTAGAGACGACATCTTTAGACAAATAGAATAATATTTCCTGTAAGAGATTAAGCTAAACTAACAAAATGCATATTCACCGAGTTTTTTTATGTTTTACAATTAATTAAGTTAATTTCCATATAAATATACAAAAATACAGAAAACTTACTTGTTGTAGTGGGGAGAGATTTGGAAGATGTGAAAATACCTCTTCTAGCTGGAGGAGCACTACTTGCTCTTTTTGAAACAGACTTACTGATACTTGACTAAACATCAAAAAGGAAATTTGTAAATTAGTGTAAAATGAAACAAATCATGAAACATAATACAAATTTTACTAATAAATAATAAATGTAATAAAAATACAAATAGCAAAAGCTTTGTCATTATTTACTATATAATCAATCTATATCTTCATATACTATTTTTTAAAAAACAATAGACTTTTGTAAATGAATCAAGAGTAATATTTTGAGCCATATAATTTATTTAAGGAATTACAGAGTTAAAGAATTTGGAATTTAGGAATCAAAAAACTAAAAAAAATTTTCTGTATATTACACTTGATAAATAATAGAAGTGTCATAAACAGATAAATGTTTAAAACTCACAATGTGTTAGCTTGCCTTTCAAATTTCATTACAAACTTGAGTTTCTCTATTTACCTCACCATACATTAAAAATTTCTACATAGGGCATATAGTAAACTTTTCCGACCCCAAACAAAACTATTTCAGATTCTGCATATATTGTTTTTATAACTCTGATCTTTTCGAATAATTAACAGTGAAAATATTTGAAAATTAACACGAATTTTACTATCATAAAGTGAAAGATCTAAAAAATTTATCATAAATTATTTTGGATTTAACAACAAAATAGAAAACTTTATGTTCTATAAATCCAATTTTCTCATACATAACTTACTAAACTTTTACAAATCCTTTAATCTTTCAAACTCTACAAATGAAACAGAGATAACATCAAATAAAATGTTAATTCAGACTTTAATAGATGTGAAGCTGCCTAGAAGTTTTTGTTACTTGCAGCCTTAAAAATATCATCATTTGCTTTTACGCTGTTTGCTCAATAAATTGGGGGGGGGGGAGACTTTTAAGCATAAAGAAACAAATTTATTTCAAGCAAATTTAAAGTTCTGGAGATATTTCCCGACTGTAACAAATCATTAAAAGGGGAATAAATTATAAACCTGAAAATTATAAGAAAAAATGATGAGACAAGATGAAAAGTATAATGAGAATTATTTTAAATGCCATTCATCAATCACTACACTAAAATTAATGAAAAATCTGTAAATTGATATGTGATGATCTCAAGAAAAATCTATAAAATGATATATGATGATGTCCAAAATTAAAATTACAAACACATAATATGTGATTAATTAATTGCAAACACATAAATAATATCCTTAAAAATACCTGGTTTAGTATTACAAAATTTCATATGCAGATGCTCAACACTATAAGACAAGAAACAATGACATACTGCAATAAACAGCAGGTAAAAGTTTTTGCAGTAAGCAAATAAGAAAAAAAAAAAAAAAAAAAATCAAAGCATGACATCTCATTTAAAGAATGGTCTGCCTATAATGCCCAGAGGGTCCTAAGAAGATATTAATATCATACAGTGGCTCCTTTAGCATCCCAAACATGCTGTTTAGGATATCCAACAACTTGGCTAACCAAACTAAGCAGCAAATACTCTCTCACTCCAGAAAATTGTGGACTAGTTGAGCTCTGTCTGGCCTCATGTCATCAATTAAAATAAAATCTTCCCTAACTAATATTGTGTGGTAACGCCACCTCTGTTAAAGACATGCAAGCTGTCCATCTGTCTCCACAAAGGGTTCCAAACGGTTCTACCAAAGTGGTAGATTTCCCTTATGTGGGAGGGACAATGGTGGACTATGGTATTCTCCAGATGAAGACTCACTGATAATCACTCCATGCATTGAATCTCAAATCATTATCAAATGGTCTCAATTGTTGTTTTCAAGAATGGCATGTCCTGACTACATAAAAAAACACTCTCTTCTCCAATCTGTTATAGATGACATACACCATTCTTTGCTGAGCATAAGAGATCTGCTCTGCTAGAATCTATAGTACCTGTCTTGAAATTGTAGTTAAAGATGCATTTCTGAGATAACCTGCAAAAACTCTGTAATTAGCATCTTTCAATGGTGTTGTGCATTTAGTGCCATGTATCAATCCTCTACAGGTATCATGACTCTTGCAAGCACTTGGGCACACCTTTTGGTTATGGTACTCATTGTTTGGAGTAGTACCACAACCTGGATACCACTATTTGAAACACCTGCAACCATTAAGGTACCTCTGCTTGAGACTGGTCAGCTTAAAGCCGACCAATGGATCCCCTTCTCAGTTCATTATCTAAACCAGCGGTTCTCAACCTTTTGAATAACGCATACCATCTAAACAAAATTTGAAAAACTTTAGTACCATCACTACATTTTACAATGATCATTTTTCAGTTTCTCAATGGAAACATTAAAAAAATAGATATTTTGCCATCTGCACAACCTATTGGCTATTTGTATTAAATATGCACACATATAAAATATTAGACTAAAAATTGGTTGCCATTACTGGTAAAGACTCTCAGAAGTCGTGTAGCAGAGATACAAGAAGTTCACAATTCACAACGTAGTGAGAAATTTTAGTTTTGTTTAAGAGAGATCAATTTCTTTATGTCTGGTCTTATTTCACTAAGTTTTAACTGTAAATCCGGATACACTTTTTAATTTTGTCCAGTATTTATTTTTTAAATATAACATGGAAGAAAATCCTTGTTCACATAAATAGATTGTGTAAAAAGGCCTTGAAAATTCAATAGCTTTATTTGAAATGCCTTTAAATTATTTTTTTCGTTTCAGCCAAAAATTAACAAGTGTGTTATTTTTTAAATCTTCAGTTAGAGCCCAATCACAGGAAATTTCTATCAATTGTTCTTTTTCTTCACTTAATAAAATGTCAGGTACATTTGAACAAAATGGATTTCTAACAATTTCTTTTTTATAATCCTCGGGAAAATACACATTGAAATTGTTTATCAATGAAAAACAATGATTTTTAATTTTGGATGCTAATTAGGAAAATTTATTTAAAAAAAAAAAGGGAGAAGGAGGGAAAGAATTTTTTTTTTTTTTTTTTTTTTTTTTTTTTAATTTCTAAAAGTGGCAAAAAGCTTAAAATATTATCCAATTCTTTGATTATTAGCTCGAGATTTATTATTACTGTGTTTATTTTATCTCTAATGATAAACAAATTAACACTTTGTCATGTAATCCTAAATTTAATTCATTTAACTTTCCAAAAATAATTAGCTAAATATGCTAAACGTGCCACCCATAATTCACTAAATAAACAATTTTGCAATTCAAATTATGAATCACAGAGGGAAATTCCAATTTCTGATCGACGCTCAAAAAGAAGATTTAAAACTTTGCCTCTGGACAACCTTACATCGGAATGCAACAAAAGCGTTTCATGTTCACTGCCCATCTCTTGGCATAAAATCGTAAATATTCTTAAATTATTTTTTGGTTAATAAAATTAACAATTTTCAAAGCTTGATTCAAAACGATTTTCAGGTTTTCAGGGATTGTTTTGGCTACTAAAGAAACTTTGATGATGAATGCAGCAGTGAGTAAATTTAGTTTCAAGTGTAACTTTCTTTATTTGAGAAGTAGCACGGGAACGTTTTCTGTTAAAGCCTGAGCTGCATCACTGCAAGCAGCAATGCACTTATTCAAAGAAATATCATTCTCAAACACAAAATTGTCATTTTTTTTTTTTTTTTTTTTCAGTTGTTCTATCATGAAGAGATTCACAAAATAAAATACTCTTCAACAATTCATTTATCTTCTTCAAAACGTATGTAAGCTAATAACTGACTAAAGTTCTTGCCTTCATCATATATCAGTGCCTTCAGCCAATTGCAATGCAAAATACTCTGTTTTATTTTTTTAATAAGTGCCTCTTTTATGGAATTTACCATTTCATAAATTCGTGGGCTTATTGTATCAGCTGATAAGAGAATATTATTGAGTTCATTAGCCGCTTTTTCATTAAAAAATGTTAAAACAATATCTTTAGCTGCTGGCAATATAAGGTTTTCTTCAATAGTGTGAACCTGCCCAGTCTTGGCTATTCTTAAATTAGCTTACAAAGCTTTTTCACTTGAAGTAACAAAATCTTTCATTACTTGTTAACTATTTTTGATTTCTGATAATTTCCTCCTAAAATGTTCTTCAGATTTATCATCCTTTAAACTGGCATACTTACACTCAAGAGGTCTTTAAAGAAGCCAGGTTTCGTACTTTGATCGAATAATAGTTCACCACAAACAACACAATGAGGTTGAGGATCCATTTCATTTTTATTCCAAGTAAACGCAAATGATAAATAACTTTCATGATATTTTATATAAACAATTTTTTCTTTTCAATATTCATAGTGCCAGTAGATTGTCCTGGATACATCCATCCCCTTTGAATCATCGCTTAGGATGGCAGTTGTGAATTTATATTGTGTATCATGTTTCATTTAATTATTTCATATTTTAAACTAATGGCTGCATTAAACATCAAAATTTATAATTGTTAAAATATGAGATTATTTACTTATTTGAATCCAGAGATATGCATATGTGTACCTAAATTTTTTGGTTCCTAAACATATATATATATATATATATAAAACTCCCCTCCCCCCCCCATCTATAGACAGAAAACAAGAATATAAACTCTGCTAATATTTTTTTAAATTAGTTATATTAACTTCAGGTGTGAAGAGGATAAGAAATGAATTTTCATACATGCACACCATGTCACTCATCTGTCTAGTAGAGATGTCTGTTCCACCACTGTACATACACTATCTAGAAGGATGTGTTTTTAGAACTAATTTAGATGTATTATCAGAGGCCAAGAGTTATTGTATGCTTCTGCATTCTAAGAAGTTGGGATTACTTTACACTTTACCAACCAAAAATTGTAAGATACAGGATTTTGCTGAAGAACCTAATCTTTAACACCAGAAGATACATGCATGAGTGCTAAAGTTAAGTCCTGCCTTTTGCACAAAGGAGAAGGAAAGCATTTAACCCAGATGTAGAGAGAAAAATTCAACACCTCCTTGACAAAATATGAAATTGTGTTTACTTTTGTCCTACAGACAGAGTTAAGACAGCATTTGTTTTTGCTTTGGAACTCTCTGTTTAATTTAAATGCTTTTCGGACTGAAAATGACTAAAACCACTCTTTAACCCTGCAATGGAGGGGCCGGCGTACAGAGTACGCCAATGCCTTCTTTTAGGCTGTAATTTTTAGACAACTCCTTCCTGAGCTTCCTCCCTTCCTCTACCCTCCTAGAAACATTCCATGAGTGCAAGGCACCTGGTATTTCTGGTCAGTCTGGTTTTCGCCTTCCTTCCGAAAGCAGTTATTGTGAACATGCCGCATAGGCGAACGCAGTACGCTGCTCCTCCAAGTATGTACAGAAAGAATATTGTACCTTCTGAAGATTATTTGCGTGTTTTAGAAGAAGTCTCGGTTGGTGAATACTCCGACAGTTTGGATAATGCATCTGATGTCGATGAATCGGAAGTCATCGAACATTCTGATCATGAAAACGACTCAGAAATTGAGGGAAATGTTTCTAAACATCCTCATTTTCCTTCCTCAAATGATGTGTCCCCAACAAATGACGATTTTAGGGATATTGAAAATGACATGAGTGCTTTAAAATATGAGAACTTTTTTGTAAAAACAATTTACAAAAAGAAGAAAGTTGGAGGAAAGTTTCTGAAGGAAGAAAAGGAAACTTATAAGTGGAATAAAGTTTCCCTCAAGAGCAAATTCTCCAAAATGCCTCGAAAAAATCTGATTAAAAAAATATGCCCAAGTAACAAAACTTGTGACGATATGAATGATGAGCTTTCTGCTCTTCAGAAAATCATAAATACAAATATGATTGATGCTATCGTACAATATACAAATATTTATCTCAAATGTAACAGGACTGCAGATGATCTCCAAAACATCTCAAAGAGAAGCATGTATGATACTAATAGAGCAGAAATGTTGGCCTCTTTAGGAATTGTATTCTTATTAAAGTGCAACAAAATGTCAAAACTCAATTTGGAGGAAGCATGGGCAAAAGACGGTACTGGAATTGAAATTTTGCAAGGAGTCATGGATCTCAAGCGATTCAGAAACCTGTGTGCTGCTATTAGATTCGATGATAAAGGCACAAGGTATGTGCGAAGAAAAACTGATAAGCTTGCTGCACTAAGAGAATTTTTTGAATCTATCAGAACTGTCAAAACTTTTATACACCAGGGGACGAACTCACAATCGACGAGAAGTTGGAACCCTTTCGTGGGAGGTGCTCTTTTATTCAATTCATCCCCAACAAGCCCGCAAAGTATGGTCTGAAAATTTTTGCAGTTGTTGACTCACGAACGTTTTATACATTGAAGCTTGAAATTTACTGTGGCAATCAAACCCCAGGACCTTAAGAGGCTTCTAATTGAAGTATTGACATTGTCAAAAGGCTACGAAGGTTCCAACCATAACCTGACGACCGATAATTGGTATACAAGCTACCCGCTAGCTCAATATCTTCTTACCAAAGGTATAACACTTGTGGGCATGCTGAAAAAAAATAAAAAGAAAATTCCAAATGAATTCCAGCCATCAAAAACCAGAGAAGTCGGCAGTTCACTGTTTGGTTTTTAAAAGGATATGACAATTGTTTCATATTCAATGAAAAAAAATAAGTGTGTAATACTGCTCAGTACTTTACACAATGATGACAAAATTGACCAGGAAACGAATAAACCTCAAATAATCCTCGATTATAACAAATGTAAAGGCGGAGTTGATACCGTAGACTAACTTTGTAGTAATTTCACTGTCGCCCGAAAAACCAAGAGGTGGACAATGGCAATATTTTTTGCACTGCTAAACATAGCCGGCATAAATTCGCAAGTGCTCTTGAACTTCTCCAAACCTGATGCAACCATCAAGTTTAGAAGATATTTTTTGAAAAATCTACTACATCTTTGTTGAAACCACATCTTAGAATCGTCTGAAAATGCCATTTCTCCAGTCGCATTCCAAAGCTATTATTAGAAGGCTGGTAACAACAGAAGCGGACAAGACGGCCGAAAGGGACGAGGAACCACCTGCAAAAAAGATCAAAGGATGCTGCGCTGAGTGCAGTAGAATGAAGAATAACTACACTACCATAAAATGTTCTGAGTGTTCTAAGTTTACCTGCAAAAAATCATCTGGGCAAGACAGTACAACTTTGCAAACTCTGCTGCAGTGAACAGGAACAATCGGAAGAGGATTAAAATAGCAAAACGTTTTCAAATTTCTCATTTGTAAAATTTATTACTTACCGAACTTTTCTTTATGGAATATTTATAATTTGTAATTTTGATTTATGTTCTTATCATTTTCATACAGAAAATAATGCAGAATACTATTTAACTTTAAATTACATTTCCACTGCATCCACTTTTTGAATTAATTAAAAATTTATAGTTTCCATCTTTACTGCTTTTTTTCTGTTATTCTTTTTCTTATATCATTTTTACTATGACGAATCACCTTATTAATGCCATGTATACAATTAAATAGTTTCAAACACGAAGCAGAGGCTCGAAAAATGACCTGGCGTACTTCATACGCCGCCCCTCTAAGATTGTACCATACGCCAGCCCCTCTAACTGAGGGTTAAAGAAAGAAACAAGTGTTCTCTTGTTTAGATGATGATATAACTATCACAGACATTTAAAAAACATATGTTAATGAAGTAGCGCACCAAATGTCATACCACTTGTTTTGTTTATTACACATTTATTTGTCATCAAAATATTACACAATTTATAGAGTCAGTTGCCAAACTAAAGTGAATTTAGTACAGAAAGTGTTCAACAGGTCCACCATTTTGAGCATTGATCATTTAATATTAGTATTTAAAACATATTTGGCACTCACAAAATTTACAGTAGTTTTCTCACAGTCTGGCATTTACAAATGATTATTAAAAATATTGTCATCAAAGAACAGTTATCCAGTTTTACATTATATCTGCATTCACCCTTTGTTTTCATTTTTGAAATCACACATTCAGTGTAAATAGAATAGCAAATAACAAGAAAGTTTCACCTAATATGTACAAATTATGCCTTAAACAACTGCAAAACTTTCACTGTTAGAATGCTTAAATTTTCATTAAATCACTTAATCATGAGTAACTGCATTGCTTTGAATTAACACTGATACCTCATAAAAAGATAATTTTTCTATTTTGCTAATGAATCATTTCAATTTTTTTTTTTTTTTTTTTTTTTTTTATGTAAAAATTTTACACTGACATAAAAGAATAGGTGAAAGGGCTAACTTGAATAAATAATAAACAATGATATGTCAATACAAATTATTCATTCGCATTATAAAATTTGGAGAAATTTGGAAAATTTTATGATCAAAATGGATTTCTAGACTAGGGAAATTGAGCAAATTTTATTCAATGAATTTTCAAGCAAAATTACTACAGACCGGATTTAAAGCTGAAAATGCACAATTCTTGCTATTATTCAAAACATAATGATTAAATTTATATGTAATTAACTTTATATACATTTATACAAAAAAATATTGCAGCAATGAAAATAGAGATTTTTGAATTTAGTAATCTATGTCTTAAAATGAATAGTTAATATTATACACACACATATACAATTATTCTACTTTAAAACTGAAAATATAATTTAAAAAATTTATGCAATCTAAATAATTCAATACAAAATCCATAAACCAATAATGCAAGAAAGCAGTGGCTGCAATTTTAAACTTACATTTGCAATCAGATAAGTTTACATAAGTTAGCAAAGCATTTACTTTTAAAGGCACTAAATTATAACAGCATAGATAATTAATTTTACTCATAAAGCATTTTTTAATGAACTAAACCATTGCAGGATAGTTAATTTATTCTGTAATTTTACTCACCCCATCAGCTTCACTGCTTTCAGAGTGCTTATTTACAATAAAAGAGATAACACATAAAAAAATCAGAAAATTTTAAAAACTTACTTATAACAAAAGTAAAAATTACAAATTTATTTCAAATAATCATTTACAAATTTTTAAGAAACACAAAATAAAAGTTAAAAAAAAACATTATGTATTGAGGTTAATTTTTTTTAATAACTTCAAGAAATTCTCAAGCCAGAACTTAAGATCAGCAAGGAAAAAAAGGATATTAATTTTCCCTCATCTAAAAATAAATGATTTTATTAATGTATGTAAAAAACAATTTTAACTTAAACCATGGTCAAACGCAATTAAAATTATTATGTCTCTAAATTTTTAAATGGATTAATAACTCATAAAACTATGAATTATTTTATTATCATCCTGCTTAACTGAAGGCGGATATTTGCATATTCAGTTCTTTAAATTCTCGAAATTCAATTTTTTTAATGTATTCGGTTTAGAAACAGTCCTTACATTAATATTTAATGCAAATTAAAATGCTTACCATACTGCATTCGCAGTAGCACGATGCATCTGTAATATCCTATTTCGAAAGTTTGAGTTTTATTTAACTTTTGGATTCTCCCCTCGCTAAATATAAACATCTGGATATCGGTCGAACAATCTACCGCCACCTGGCGGAGAACATCAAAACTACAATGATAAACAAACAAATGGCGGGAACACGGATTTGCAAGCCAGGGATAAATAGAAGGGCTAGCTCATTTCTTTGTTCGACTCCTCACCGACGCGAGCCTGATGGGGGGACGTAACAGGCAATAATCTGACGTCACTGTGATGCCACCTGTCCTGATTTCCCGCGTTTAAAACAGTAGTTTCATTGAGCTGCGAGACGATTTTCTAGAGGTTACATATCCCAAATTAATTTTAATAATATATATATATGTTTTCTTATAATGTATATATTTAAAATAATTTATATATATGCAATTTTAGTCAGTTTTTATTTTAAATTCTATATTGTAAAGTATCGTTTACGTAATATGGCTTTTTGCGCTGCAGTAACGTGCCGTAGCACTTACAGAAGTATGAAAGGATGAGATATTTTATTTCATGGAACCAAAGGATCCAAATGAGAGTTTGATTTTGACGAAATAATGGATACACAAATGTCAAAGAAAAGATTTTATTAATGTGAAGAGCGGAAAAATCTGCAGCGAACATTTTCTATGCAGTGTTTATGAAGATGATATGAAAAATCGCTTGTTTGGATAGCCACAAAAAGAAACTATTGAAATGGAATGCTGTGCCGAAAGTAAACTATGATGACAATAATAAATCGAAATTGATGATGACAATAATAAATCAAATTTTAATGATTTTGAAATAAAACTCACAAATGAAAATGTAGATCATCCTGAATGTTTAAGGATAAACAAGAATGCATTGATAATTTGAAGAACAAAATAATATCCTTAGAAAATTGTATTAAAGTATTGAAAAATAGAGAAAAGAAAAATTTTAGAATGTTTGTTCAGCGACAAAGAAGGTGGACGACAGAAATTGGTATCAGAAATTAAAATCTCAAATAGCGAAATTTGGGGGGAGCACAAATCGGAGAATTTGGAAAAATATCTAAAGCATATTTTTATAAAGACGCAGATTAATGCATTACTGAAAAAGAAGAAAAAAATCAGGTGGACTAGTGAAAATATTTCACGTTGCATTGTCATAAGGGCTCTGTCATCTTAAAGCTATGATTTTTGGAAATAAAAAAATTAAGAAAAAAATTGGAATATCTTTACCTAGTCTTATCAAATTAAAGAAACGGTGTTTATTTTATTTTTTAGTGTTTTCTAAATTTAGTTTCTAAAATTTAGTGTCCAAGAATTCAAAGTAATGTTCTTACTCTAAAGAAGGAAAGAGGCGAATATTTGTATTGTGTAGAAAAAATATGCGTTCTCAGTTTCGACGAAATGCATATAGATTGAAAACTCAGCTATGACTCTAAACTGGACTAAGTTGGTTCTTTTCAAAATGTGCAGTTTGTTTTAATCAGAGGTCTCATTTCGCGCTCTGCCTCAAATTACTGAGAAACCGCGCGTTTTAGATAGAGGATTTGTTTTAGAAGATGTAACTGTTTTAAATTTTGATATTATTAAAGAGGTTTTAAATAGAGATTGAGAAGAAATCAAATTGTGTCACAAACTAAAACCAAATTATTTAATGGTCAAGGGAAACGAGAAACAAAAAGTCGCTCCAGAGAAAATATTATTTTCAAAAATACCGCAAAAGGTATACTCTACCCCACAGGAAATCAGAAAGCATCTGACTTCTATGAGTTAATCGATAATATCTTCGGTATTATGAATAGTACCAACAAGAATAACAAGTATTTTACAAACTAATTTTGCTAAGTACTTGTTAAAGTTATTCTTATTGTATCCTTTGTAACTAATTATTGATTAGATTTTGTGCTAGATTAGCATTCTAGATAAAATATAATAGTATAAAACATCAAAGTAATTGGCATAAAAAGACCTGCTTCCTTTACTCACACTTTTGAAAAATTAAATAACTGTTTTAGGTACTCTGAATAAAGCTATTTTGTCAAAATTAAGGTAACAATCTTATATACATTTATTTAATTGTAATATAGATATAAGTATAAATTACAAAATTATTTAAAAAAATATCTATTATATTGAATCGGAAGAGAATTATAACAATGTAAAATTTACAATTAGGCAAAAAATCAAACGTAGGTTAGCAGATATGTTGCCATATATGTCATATATGTTTAAACCTATGTCAATGTAAAGTTGTATTTTGAGTAAATTTAAATAGCTGCTATTATAGTTATCTTAGAAGCAGTATAAAAATTCTCTCAGTTAGCATGCAAATAAAGAAATGATTAGAAATAAACGTGCATTAAAGAAAAAAACCTGCAAATAAAAATTAAAAAAAAAAAAAAAAAAAAACCACGGAACTTTATGTTAAAAGAGTAGCACATTTTATCTATCATTTTAAAATTGAGTAAGCATTATTAAATTTTTTAATGGTTCAGTCTAAAATGCATAAATAAAGCAGTAACATTGCCTCTTCCAAATTATAGCTATCTTTTCACACACAGCTCATTTTAAACGCTGGTTCAAAAACGCTAATTTCCAAGCTGTGAATTATATTGGCGCGCTCAGTGTCATCATGGCTACGTCATCACTTCTCACTTTCTGCTTCAGGGGGAAAAGCTCTATGAGCTAGCCCTTCTCTTCTAAGTCCTGTTTGCAAGCGCTTGTAATTCAAAAATCTTAAAATAATGAAAATGACATCCTGCAGAGACATCTGGTCGCTAAAGATCTGGGCTATAAAGCAAAAAACTACACAATTCTGTACCGAAATATCGATAGTATTTATTCACTTTAGTGTTTCACAAAATAAAGACTCATTTTTCAATAATATAAAAAAATGAAATATATATGAAGGCCGACGTAAAAGATATCGCATTAATTTATTTGTTTTCACATTACAAAATCTATCAACCGTGTTTAGTGCCCTCTTTCTAAATGCAAATAATGCACTATTAGTTTTTGCTTTAACTAAATTTCGTAAAATTATTACTTTACATATGCAATACTTGTAGACTGAGCACAGACGGTAGACAAAAATGCCTCGCCGTAGCACTTTTCTTTTCTCATTTACTGACTATACTGATACGATTATCAGTTATAATGTTTCCTTCAGAAATTCCGTATTATACTTTTTATACAAACATATTAAGGGGCGTCATTAGAACAAAATGATTTAAAATAAATTCTGATGAAAATAGTATTTCTTACACACAGTTGAGGATAAAATCGAACCTGAAAGCTAAACAGAAATATTTTTATTTTCCCAAATTATCCGAATTAAAATTTTACTGCACTTCTTCCTTCCAAATTGATTTTTAGATTGGCTGTTTTAAAACAGTAATTCACATTTCCTTGTTATACTAATAGAAGAGATCTTAAATAACTCATTTAATTGCATAATTTATCAACTTGTTCTATGCCCATTGGTTTTAATTGTACACAGTATTTAAAAAAAAAATATTTTGACTAAATTATGACTTCAAGAAGAAAGGAAGAAGAAACTAGTATTCTTCCGCGCGGAAGAGAGAGAGGGAAATTTTCAAGCTTTCATCCACTCGTTTTTATCAAAATTATAATTTTTTAGATAATACGAAATATAAACAAATAGAAGTGGAATATATCTGTTTAAATAATTTTTAAATTATTACTTTGCGATATTATATTTAAAACAAAGAAAATAATTTCTATAATGCAGAATCAAATATTTTTACTAAACACTATCAGTCTTGTAAAAAAAGATTGTCCATTTTGTATTTACTTCCTCTAAGCACTGACTCCTATATATTTCATGAGCATTTCTACCCTTAATTTTCATGAATTGCGTTTTATCCATCTTGGTAAAATAGAACAGAAAATCAGCAAGATTGATAGTTCTGTATCTCCCGTTCTACAGGGCCGATTGACGAAATTCAAATGACGTTTTTCACGTCTCGAAAGCGCGACTTTGGACATGTATTAGATTTATATATAGCGTTGTTCTAATAGAGAGATTTCGACACAAAATCGAACTTTTTCTGAAATGACATGCCATTTTTTTCCCATATTTCGATTCTACGATTCAAATTATGGCAAACTACCTAGCTGTGTAAAAATTACCCAAGTTGTTTTTAAAAAATTAGCTCTTAAAATTTTAGCTCCTGAGTGTTCATTGAATTTGATATGTATTTATTAATCTCTGTTTTTTTTATTAAACTTATTTTATTCATTCTTTCAGAATTCGAAATTTAGGCTTAATCCAAATAAAATTCGCATGTTTTTAATTATTTATTATTAAAATTTGTATTTTTAAATACTTTTTATAAATTTTTTGAAACAATTTTGTATTATAACCAACAAAATTTTTAACATCATCTTAAAGTAGATGTATTATTTCTAGGCACACCTGCAAAATATTGGAGTTTTTTATTCAAA